AGGGAGAGAGAGAGAGAGAGAGAGAGAGAGAGAGAGAGAGAGAGAGAGAGAGAGAGAGAGAGTTTATTTATAGAGGATGACACTTCACAGTACGAATACTGATGACTCTGTGGTCCTCTGGAAACCTATGTGCCTAACCCACCCATGTCAACTTTCTCTGTGGGAGGAAACATGGAGTACCCGGAGAAAACCCACGACTTTCGGCAGAGCGTCGACTTTTACTCATTTCACATGAGGCCTGGGTTCAAGTCACATTGAGAAGTTCTCACTGAGATTCGAACCTGCGTCCTTAGAGGTGAAAGGCAAGTGCGCTAACCACTTCGCCACCGTAGAAGAAAAATTTGTTAGTAAATTTGAACAGTAAATAGGGAAATTGGGAATTGAAATGAAAATAATTACTTAAGTAGCTTTATAATGATCAGCAAGGATTATATATACTAAAGTGCTTGATAGCCATCATTCAATAATTTCAGAATTGATGTTATATTAGGTTAATTAATAGACAAATACTAAAATATTTTCTTACATTACTCAGAAATTACCTGAATATATAAATTTAAATAAATTAGCTGCAATGTATTTATGAGAGGACGTAGGCTACAGCAAGAATTAGCAGAAGGAATTGCGATGCACTTTAATATTGAAAAATCAATGTCATATATGGGTGGCTCTCCGTTTACTCTTTGTGCAGTCACTGTATATGATTGGTTTGTTTTAGGTGAAGTGTTTGCTTGTGTTTTGTCACTCTTCATGGATGCTACACATCAACCTTTACCAACTGATGAAGAAGTAATTGTCTGCGACGAAAATACCACAGCTGAAGAGGTAGGTTAACATCTTCAATAAAAGTTATATAAACATAAAACACATCTAACAGGGTTATACACAGCACGGACAACTGCCCCCTCCCACCCCACCCCAGCTCAGAGGAAATTAATTTTAACTTACTAATTTTATAATGTCATTATGATCGTGACAAATAATTATGCAATCAGGAAATAAAAAAATTCATGTAAATAATAACACTTGCAGAAATATAATGTTTTAAAATTAATATCACAAGCAATTATGTGATATACACTGGAACGAAACGTTCTGTTTCAACCATGCCAAGCATACTCGCTCATATCCATACCACTAAACATCAAATTTCACCCTCTGATTTTAAAATCCTTTCCACTGCTACTTCTGAAGCAGATTTACTCATTTGCGGAAGCATTTTCATATCCAAGCTTAGTCCTACTTTAAATGCCAACATTAGGTAAACTCCTCTTGACCTATTCTAATACTTTGCTAGGTCTCTAATTAATTAATTACTAACCATTATGTCTTTAATTTACTAATATTTTTGATGACATGTTGTCCTTCCTTCTTTCCTCTTATTCGCATATTTGAGTATTGTAACAGTTTGAAACTATTTGTAGCTATAGGCTATATCTAATACACGCTTGAAAAAAGTTTAATTGCTTTTGAAGATGTTGTGAACAATACAACGAAACGAAAGCCAATAAATTTTATATTTTTGTTATGTCTTGTCTGAAAGTCATTTGCTGGGCAACAGGGTGGACTTCCGTCTACGCATGCGCGAGAAACGTAAGTGGAGTTCACGTGAGCGCGGGTTAATCGCGTGACTGAATTATAAAAACAAACATCAAATTTGCAAAAACTACTCGTGTTATGAAATCGTTTTCTTGTTTCTTTAGTGTTTCTACGCTCACAATTTAGGCATTTCCAACTTAGAAGTGTTTGCTTTGGAATAAGAACGTGAAAGTAGAAATAAAAACTTTGTTGCAGCAGTTTAATTTCGCAGTGCAAATATACCTGTTTTTAATATGTATATCCTTTTCGAAGTGAGATATACAAGTGCAAATTGACCTTCTTTAAATTCGTACTTGCCCTATTTTTCACTCCATAAAAACTACTTTTATCGATGGAGAAAGTATTTGACTCTAAAAATAAGCTTGAATTTTTGTGGTGATATAGGCTCATTTCTTTGCAAACAGTGATTTAGTACTCGGTAGTGTAGTTGTTGTTTATGAACAAAAGTCTAAAATGAATTCAACATCCGTCAACAAAAAGGAGTCGCGTTTATTACTACTCTGCAGAGGATAGACAATTAATTTAACTCACTAGGAACCCGTTCTACAATATAAACTAGAAATCGGCCAACAAATTGCCACGAAATACTACAATGAAAATAGGGTCTCTGAACTACCAATTTCACCAAACGGTCAAGTTTCTCTGCAAAGATCGCCCCTTTGCCCAATTTTCCTCGGGTAGATCATCGTATTTTTAAGCCAAGGATTATGTATACTTTAACATAAAAGAATAAAAAAAGTGGTGATAAAGGGTAGATTTTGAATAAAATGCGAATATCTGTATACAAGATCTGAGCGTTATTATGAAGCACTCGATACTTTTTCCAACAACATATTGCGATTAATTTTTTACAAAATTAAAAATATTCACACATTAAAGATATGAAAATGTAGCTTGCATTACAAAGAAATGTTGGCTTACCTAAGTTATACCTTACACGTCGATTAAAGTCAAGTAAAGCTCTTTCAAAGACGCGTGTCACATTAAACTACAGGACACATGGCGGTAGAGAACTCCACGAAGTATTCAGGATATTTCATAGCCAGTTTAAACCCTGCTGTGCACTATTCCTGTGAATTATGATGCCCAACACACCGGGTAACAAAATTTACCACTTTGTTCGGCTGTTCCAAGTACACTTTTAAGATACAAGGTCCGATTATATCATGTTCTTCGAAGCATCTGCTCAAAACAGTCCAACATAAATGTCGCCACTCATCTTCTTCGTATGAAAATATAAGTTTTCCTTTCAATTGCTTTGCTTTAAAAACAGTCATTAGGTTGTTGAAGA